CCTGCTCCTTGCTGCCGTGGCCTCCCCGACCGGGCTCCAGGCCCAGGAGGCACTGATGTGGCAGGAAGCCAGGTGTGGGATCAGGGAATTAGAAAGCCTGCTGGTCCGGCCCGTCTCTCCCTCCTCCCAGCCCCTTGCCCTCCAGAGAGCACACATTTCAGAAGCAGCTGCAGGGTGCTGCCTCCCCACCTCCTCCTCTCTCCTCTCTCTTTCCCATGAATAAATGTCACAAGCCCCACAACAGCGGAGGAGGAAATCTGTGGCAAAGAGAAGACCCCACAACTGCAAGTCCCTGGAGTTGAAAGCCCCGCACCAGCCCTCTCCGTAACCGGCGCCCACCTGCGAATGCCCCCAGAGCAGCCCAGGCGCTGGCCACGGGGTGGGGCAGCGAGGAGTGGTAAGAAAGCCTAAGGAGGGCGGGGCTGGGCGGCACTCAGCACTCGGCACTCAGCACTGGGCTGGTTATGCCAACGGAGCCTATGTGCAGTTAATGGCACTTTCTCATTAAGCAGTTATTAAAAAGTGGGTGGTTCTTCCTGGCTAGGTGCTATGCCATCCGTTTCTACGCACTGAGATCGTCAGTGAAACCTGGTTGGCTTCATTCTGGAAAAGCATGGGCCGTTGCTGGGGGGAGCACTCCCAGGGCGGGCGCGGGAGCCAGCTGTCCAGGTCTGCGCCTGGGATTCTGCTAGGGGAGGCGGAGGTGAGAAGAAAGGTCCTCGTTTCCCAGCAGGTGCGGCACGGCGGCTTTCCTCATTAGCAGGAGCACTCCAGGCGTCTCTGGTGTGCACACATGCTGGGATGTGCTTGGGAAATCAATTCCTGAGCTGAGAGGCGGCCTTTCCAGCTGGTGCCGGCCCCGGGAGGCGCAGCGGTGCTAATGGCTTGGTCTGACTTCACGCAGAGGAAAGTAGTGAGGACTAGGGAGGAGGAAACAGGAGGCCTGTCCCCAGGGGGACCCACAGGGAACATTCTTTTGGGAGACAGTGAAAATTTGCAAATGTTAGCTGAGCAAACCTCTTTAACCAGGAGCCAGGTTCCATGATGGGCCCTTGGGATTCAGATCTGGATGACCAGTTCCTGCTCTCTCTTTGTCCAGCGAGGGAGATAGACAGACACACAGCCACACTCAGTCTGCAACAGAGGCAAACGCCGGGCCTGAGGGGATCAAAGAACCCAGACTGACGGGCAGAAGCACATCCCAGGGAAGGAGCAGCTCTGCTGTTTCTCAAAAGGGCTCAGGTGGAAGGGGGGACACTGACACTCACTCAGTGCCATGTGCCAAGCACTGTGCTGGGCGCGTCCCCCTCTTGTTTCATGACCTCCTCTATAGACACGGAACCAAAGTTCAGAGAGGGTACCTAGCTGGCCTGCCACTGGAGCCGCCCGAGCCTCCGCTGTTCCACACCGCCCACCCCTTGCCAGGGCCGAAGGAAAGATGCTCCAGGCTGTGTGAACTGTTTCTAATCTCTGTATTGGATGCTTCGACATCTGGGGACTTGCTGACCTGGAAGGGACTGCTCCTGCCAGGGTTAGCTGATTCCTAGAGAAAGCAAATGATGCAGCCAGGAGCAAGTGCGAGCTTTCCCATTCCAGGCCCTAGTCTCCTGCCCTGATCACCCCAGAGCCAGGCACCGAGTGGCTGGGGACAGTGCCTGTGCCCCAGAGCTCACTGCAACCACTCAAGCCAGCCAATCCTGAGCCTGCTTACTCCCCCTCACCCATTCCTTCCCATGGAAACCACAGGAAAGGCTCTTGCCCACGTATTCCCTGCTGCCTCTGCCACCAGGCAACCCCGGTGCTTCCTGTGTGGCATGGCGTGCCCAACCCCCACCCCGCCGGGATCTGTCACAGCTATCTTTTCAGTAGCAGTCGTCTCCTGATCTAATGGCCTCACCATACCTGAAAAATAGGATGACCTATATTTTAAAACACAGGCAGAGGGAGTCGCCGGTGTAGCTCCAACAGGAGCGAGTCGTGCACATCCTGTGAGCTGTTTGTGAGGTGGGGACCTGGGAGGGTGGGCAGAGGCCAGTGGGGTCCCCGGATTGGTCTTGCATCCTGGAGGTGCTTAGGGGGCTCCTGAGGATGTGAAGCAGGTTTGTGTTATAGCGCAATCCACCGGGAACAACACACACAGATGAGAGAGAGAGACAGAGAGAGAGAGAGAGACAGGGCCCCTTTGTCGTTAATCCCAGTGTGACAGGAAGAGAAGGAACTGAGGCACGATTGGTGGGAATGGGGCAGAGGAGACACGATGGTGCAGGTGAGGTGCTGGTTTAATGAGGAGGTGGGGTGATGGGGAGGAGGCGGAGTTTAGTGAGCCAGTGCATTGGTGGTGGCGGCTCACTGAGATGGGACCAGCTGGGCTGACTGACTTGTAACATCCCATCCTCATGATGGGATCCACAAAACTTTCAGATCTTTGAATCCAGGGCTCAGAAAAGCAGATTGCAGTAGAGGATTTGAGTTCTGTGTGAGACTTATCCTTTTATATAACAGTGCTAACCTCATTTATCTTTTGTAATTGGTTATTGTCAAACAACTCTCAAAAATTTAACCAAAGGTCTAACTGCAAACAACCACGTGATAAAGAACAAACACCTTTTATATGTCAAGATCTCCCCTTAGGGAACTCAAAGATGCTGTTTGTCCGCATTCCTTAAGAAAAGTTACCACCTCCCATGTCAAAGGACCTGGGAAAGCTTGGGTTTAGAAGTGGAACAACTGTGATGAGGCATTTAAAAATGGGTTTTGATTTGAAATCTGAGATTGATCGGGCAGGCATCCAATATTCTGGAATCACAGACATTCAAAGTTCAGACAGGCCAAAAATGACAGATGGACAGAAGAGAGCATCTGTGTGCTGGTTGAGGACCAGGGAGCAGAAGTGGGCCCGAAAGGCGGGGTTTCTGTTCTGGGCCAGTTCTGAAAGGGCCGTGAGAATTGTCTGGCCCTGAAACGGCGATTAGGTGTAGGGAGAGCCCTTGGATCCCACATCCAGGTCCTGACAAGTGAAAGATTAAAGAACATGCGCATGCGCGTGTGTGTGTGCGCGCACGCGCGTGTGTGTGTATGTGTGTGTGTGTGTGTGTTGCAGGGGAGGTGATCATGAGATTTTATTGCAGTAGTGAAAGGGCCACTGCAGGAGAGCCTCATAGTTGTCAGGTGCTTGAGAAATCCCAAGGGAGAAGATGTGATCCTTATCCCCAAGAGCTTCCAGACTACGGAGGTGACCAGGCATATGCGAAGATCCTTCAGATACTTCTGAGGCAGAATGAACACTTGAATCGAAAGATTCAAGCCATAGCTGTAAAGGTCAAAGTCATGTGAAGTGAGGGCAGATCCCCTTGGGTGGTGCGGAGAAGGCAACTGGAAAGGGCTAAGCCCCAGAGCAGAGTACTCCACCTTCTGATGTGCTCCTGTCCTTCTCAGCACCATGTTCCTCCCCCGGAGTAGTGTCTCAAGAGCGGAGGTTAGGTCTCCTTACCCAGATGGGCTCAAGCCTTTAAGACCTTGGAGGATAGTAACAGCTCCTGTAGAGTTGTGCGCTAGTATGGGATGGTACCGTATAGTGCAGCACAGGTGCCCATCCTGTCCTAAGGTGGATTTTTCTCAGGGTTTTCTGAGAGGAGAAGAAGGAGCAGACGAGCTTTTTTTCAATCTCCTAAGGAATCACTGAATCCATTTAGCACCTTAAAAGCAGAAAAGGCAAAAATGACCATAAAGAAAATGAAAAAGCAAAAGTGAAACAATGCTTGCCACACAATGACAGATGAAGAGTTAGTATCCTTACTCTATAAAGCTCATGTGAACAGGTAAGAAAAATACTGAGGCTACAGCAGGACCTGCGCACAGGATGTATGGGAACACCTCTTCCAGGCTGGGAGAGGCTGCTCCCAAAATAGAGGCAGGGAAATGCTGGGAACTCACAGAGATTCCCTTGCAGCTGTGATATGGACATGCATTCCTGGGCACATGTCCTGGGACACAACTAAGTTGAGGAGGATTCTGAGGCTTTGGTAAAAACACAGGAGACAGCAGCTGCCCACATTCGTTGGCTTGTGGCCCCTTCCTCGAATCACTCCCAACCCTGCTTCCATCACGTCTCTTTTCTCTATTTCTGAGTCTCCTGCCTCCTCATGTAAGGACTGTGATTACATCAGGCTCACCTGGATAATGCCCCATGTCAAGGACCTAAACTCAATCACATCTGCAGAGTCCCCTTTGCCATGTAAGGCAACATATTCACAGGTTCCGGAGAGTGGGAGGGGGACATCTTTGGGGGCCAGTATTCCAACTACTGCACACGTATTTCAAACTTAACTTGTCAAAAGCTTACATCCCTTATTCCTGTCCTCCCCAAACACTATTTGTCTCCATTTTCCATGGAATTTCTGTGGCCTCATCATCCACACCGTTGTCCAGCCCAGCAACTTGAGTGTCATCTTTGGCACCTCCTCTCTAACCTCCCACACCCTGTAGCCATCTGTGCATATTTACTGAGTGTCTACTGTGTGCCAGGCACTCGTCTAGGCTCAGAAGACATGGAGATGAACAGATATCTGGGGTCTCTGCTCCAAGGGCAAATAAGATAATATCACTTACTATGCAGTGCTCTTAAAAAAAACAGGCAGTGTGATGTATAGACTTGCTGGAGGTTACTTTACATTGTGTGATCAGAGGAAGCCTCTTTGAGGATGTAACATTTAATCTGGGATTTGATAAGAAGGAATCAGTCATGCAAAAGTTTCCAGGCAGTGCAGCCAAGATTGGGGAAACAGCTTGGGCAAAAGCTCTAAAGTAGGAACGAGCGTGTGTCGTTCAAATAACAGGAAGAGGGTGAATGTGTCTGGAGCTCACAGGGGAGAGTGAGAAGAGGCCAGAGAAGGTAGGAGGGGAGTCTCCTAGGGCCTGGGAGACCCGAGCAAGGACTTTGGATGTTACCTTCAGAACGTAAGCTTTAATCTCTCATCTCCATCTCCCTTCTGCCCTTTCAGCCCGACCAGCCACCATCTCTGACTTGGACTATTGCAGCTATCTTCTACCCAGACTCCCTCCTCCACCTCTGCCTCCTCTGATCCAGTTTCCATAGAAAAACCAAAGTGATCTTTTGAAGAGGATGCAGTACTTTGGTGTATTCAACATCTTTTCCAACTTCCTCCTAGTGTGCCTTTCTCTCCTGCAGAGGCTGGGAAGGTGAGGACTGTATTTCCTAGACTCCATGAAATGTAGATTCCAACTTAGGCTCTGCTTAAGTCAAATGTAGGTGACCTGAGCTAGTGCAGTGAGGCAGGGAGAGTGCTGGCAGGGGGCAGGCGTTCGCTTCTGCAGGTGGGTCCAGCAGGTGTGGGTCTAGGGGTTGTGGCTCTAGCAGGTGTTGGTCTAACGAGTTTGGCTCCAGTAGATGTGGGTCTAGGAGGTGTGGCTTCAGCAGGTGTGGGTCTGGCAGATGTAGCTCCAGCAGGTGTGGGTCTAACAGGTGTGGCTCCAGCAGGTATGTGTTTAGCAGGTGCAGTGCAGCTCTGCAGTTGTAGTTGCAGCTGTGGCCTGTGGACACTGGACTGCTGCCTGTGCGTTGTGTTCTGAGGCCAGCACGTGCAGCTCATCTTCTGATTTCCCAGCTTCCTCACTGAAGCAGAGGTAACGGCTCCCCTGGTGAGTGAGCTCGGCGGTGATGTTCTACGAATCCCTCCTTGAGACCCAGGCCATGGCCTGCTCCTCCAGCCCATCTAATGACATGTGAGCAGATAATTCTGTGTTAGCTGCCTTTCTTCTCAAAAAAGCCAGAGTGATTTCTTTCATGTTTTGTTGAACTGTGAATACAAAAGGCCACCCTGATTTAGTCACTTTCTGGCTCATTGACCATAGAATAACACCCAACATCCTTCATGCGCCTATCGTCCCTGGATGACTTAGGCCCTTGCCTCCTTCGGGCACATATCACTCCCTTTTCTCTTCTGATGACTCCCCCTCATCATCCTGGTCACAGCCTAATGTCACTTCCCCAGAGAAGCCTCATTCTTCAGTTGCGAAAAACAAGCCCCACAGACTGCGTGGCACCAACGACAGGTGTGAGTTTTCTCCCAGTTCCAGAGGCTGGAAGTCCAAGGTACTGTCAGCAGGGTGGTTCCTTCTGAGCCTCTTAGGGAAAGATCTATTCCTGGCCACTCTCCTGGGCTTTTAGAAGGCCAACTTCAGGTCCACACGGCTTTCTTTCTGTGTGTGTCCAAATTTCCCCGTTTTATAAGGACACCAGTGTTACTGGATTAGGGCCCACCCTGATGACTTCATTTAACTGAGTCAATCTGCCATGATCCTACTTACAATTCCAATTCCACTGTCAGGTACCGGGGGTTAGGACTTCACCCTGTGAATTTGGGAGGATGGACACAATTCATCCTCTAACAGCCAGGTTCTCAATGTCTAACTTCTCCTCAAACTCTGCTCCTTCGTCAAAGCAGTCAACTCTGTGTGACGGTGCAGCTGCTGGTGGGTTAACATTTGTCCTCAGCAGGGGAGACTGTTGGATGGTCCCCCAGTGCTTAGCACAGGGCCTGAGGCAGAGCAAGTGCTGAAGAGGTATTCATTGGATTTGTGGATGAATGAGTTGAGGAATAAATAATTATTTCTAATAGCTGATGAAAGACCTAAAAGGCCAATGAGAAGCAAGTGGCCAAATCACCCAAGACACAGTTGTTGATCACACAGCTGTTAAAATGTTTCTGAAGACTTTGTGACGATGTGGGAAAATGCTTATGGTTTGACATTGAATGACATGGTAGAATACAACCATTTATGGAATATTACATGAAGAAAGAACAGAAAAATGAGAGTCCAGTGTTGAACTCACAAAAAAATATATATATAAATTGTGATCAGATTTTCCACATTAAATGTATTAGTTCTTCTCATTCATTAAATAAACAACTTCATGTCAAAGCTAAAGAAAAATTAGCATCCCTAAAAATTGGAGTCATATGAACTATCCTTTATTCATTTTGGAGTAAAAGATGGGATGGCAGGAAATACACAGGGCCTCATTTCTACTTCTTTGGGCAAATCTTATTTTTAGTAACTTGCTTTGCCATTAGTAAAACCACGTCTGGTCTTACGTAAAAACAATGTGTTTGAACTTCTTATTTTGTGTATTTGCTCTTTAAAATTTTTAAAAAACATTTTTCTTACTTCAGAACTAATGCATGCTCATTAAAAAGTTAAATATCAAAGTAAAACAAAAACATAAAGCAACCTAAAATTGTGCCTCAAAGCCATAACCATTAATTACATTTTGGTAATGCTCCTCCAGAATTTATTCTAAATACACAGATATGTATAACACACACACACACAAGCATTATGCAGAAATGAACCCGCACTCCATGAGACCGCAAACTGCTTTTACATTTTAAGATATTTGTTGCCCATATCTGGTGGTGTGGTCCCTATGCCCCCCTCGTCCTGCTTTTTTTTTACCCAAGCAGTGACTCAGATGCAGAGTCATCAACCTAAGGTCTGAGAGAAGCAGCTGAGATACAGGAAGGGGCCTGGCCGTCTTCTCAAGGGCAGAGTGAGCAGGCCCTGGGTCCCCGACTGGGTCACGCTGCCTGCTGCTCTGTGAGCCGGCTGCCTCTGTTTGTCAGGAAGACCGAGTTCACCACCGCGTGTGCTGGGGAGACTGGATGGGCCACGTGTGGCATTCTGGTTGGGTGGAAGCTGCCATGTAAGTAGCAAAACAACAGAGCCAGGGCTGTCCTGCGCTTACTGGAGTTAAAATCCCACCATGTTTGCAGAATTATCTAAAGCTTCCAAAGGTTATTGGAGTTATTTCCGTTATTCAGAGCTGTGACCAAGTTTGTGAAACTGTATAACACGGTTAAGAACACGGATTAAACATCTTTTAAGGGGCAGTGGTGTTGGTATGGGGTGTGGGTTCTCTGTGTGTGTGTGAGAGAGACAATGTGTGTGTGTGCGCTTTACTAGCAATTTAGTAAATTGTAGTCTCCATATTTTGTTGTAAACCCATAGTCCTTGTGTGTCCTCAAAATTTCTGAATGATCAATAAACATTGTTTCATGTTTGGTGAGTAAAAAAATTATATCTTTGAGAACTGTGTTACCTCAGTACATCTGAAACATCTGAATAATACTTTGAGGTGTCTGATGAAAAATAGTGGTTGCTGCAGAGTCTGTAAATATCTTTTCTCCTCTCAAATTTGGAATAACATAAAGCCCAGGTTTTAATAAACGCTTCCAGGCTATATTTTCCCCCTGCCCAAATGAACTCTTCCCTGCTCTTTCTGTTTTCCTGGCTTCCTCTCTGGTAACGGCATGTCCTGTCCTGGGAGGACCTCGTGTCACAGTCCCAGGGAATAATGAATCCCACCGCGGTGGAGGTGAACAAGGACGCCCAGTTCACGAACCTCCATGGTGAGGACATTTGCCGTTACTTTTTAAATTTGAAGTTATTATTTTTTTAAATCGTCTCATTGTCCTGTATTATAGAATATTATAGAAGAGAAACTATTAATTATCTCATACTTTGGACAGTTTTTCCATTCGTTTAACAGAGTAACCGTTCACATTCTTTCAAGGTAGAATACAAAATTTTACAGCCAGTAATTAGAAGGGGCCCTGGGGGGCATTATTCCCGTCCATGGTGCATGCATCATCGATGTTTTATTGACTTCCCCTTTGAAACTAAGCAAGGCGCAAAGCACGTCCTTTTATGTCAGAGGCAGGAAATTTGTTTCCAAGCACAGCAACTGCACATCACTCCACAGAGACGAAGACTGAGGTGGAGCAAGGGAAGAGGAAGTGCAAAGAACCTTGAGCTTGAAGCTTTGTTCCTGCACGATCGCTGGTGCCTTAGGATATTGCTTTTCCTGTCGAACTTCTGGGCAGCAGAGAGGAGGGAACTGCTGGCCCACCGCTCAGGTCCCTCCTCAGGTAGCCTCATGCCCGTCCCTGAGGGGAGAAGGTTCAGGGCTTTCCCAGACAATCTGCACCTCAAGCTGGGGGCATCCACACAATAATAACACGGTGCCTGGCAACCTTGTGGGTTGCTCTGTCACTTGGACGTAACTCACTAGGAAAAATCTGTGTTTTGGCTGGGCCTGGTGGTTCACGCCTGTTATCCCAGCACTTTGAGAGGCCGAGGTGAGTGGATCACTTGAGGTTAGGAGTTTGAGATCAGCCTCGCCAACATGGTGAAACCCCATCTCTGCAAGAATACAAAAATTAGCTGGGTGTGGTGGCGCATGCCTATAGTCCCTGCTACTAGGGAGGCTGAGGCAGGAGAATCACTTGAACCCAGGAGACGGAGGTTGCAGTGAGCCGAGATCGCGCCACCGCACTCCAGCCAGGGCCACAGAGAGACTCTGTCTTGGGGAAAAAAAAAAAGAGAGAGAAAAATCTGTGTTTCTAGTTTTTTTTTTTTTTCCTTGAAGAAGCTCAGGAAACAGAAGCAGATGGAGGCTGGTGTTAGATTCAGCTCTATCCCCACTGAACTCATCACTCTGGATTGTATTTTTGTGCTGATCTGCCTTCCCATGAGACAGGGGGACAGGTGGGCCCAAATCTAGGTGGCAGACCCTCAATTGCTACTTCCTGATGAATATGTAAATGAGTCCCTGGGACGTATTTTAGAACATCGAACACCACGGTCTTCAGATGCCCGGCTGAGCAGGGCCTGGTGACTGCTGAACCAGTGGTCAACTCCTCAAACCCTTAGGGACGTGGCGCTTCCTCAAGAGCAGGATGTGGGGGTTGTTTTGCTTCTGTTTTAGGAGGTTATTCTTGTTTCTTTAAAGAGATAGTGAATTCTCTCATGTCAGAGACCGTGGCATGTGCCTCTTTCATGGGAGATGCAGAAAAGCTATGAAACAAGCTGTCTGAAGCAGAATTGAAAGGGGACAGGGAGAGATGGGCAGGCAGGAGGAGTTTATTTTGTGCTCACTGTGCAAGACACAGAGCTAGGGCTTTCCATACACATTACACAAACTCACCCGCACCTGCCCCCACCCCAAAAGACTCTGAAGACGGTATTATTATATCCATTTAAAAAATATAAAAAGACCAAAAGCACAGAGAGACTGTCTCATCCTGGGGCATGGTTATGATGTGGCAAAGCTTGGTTCGAACACTGGTGTGACCTCCCTAGTCTAGAGTTGTTCGTGCTGAGATGGGACCGGTAAACAGGGAGAAGCTGACGTATACCCTAGTATTTAGTACTAGATTCTAAATGAGTCTTCTCAGAGATGTGCCTGTCACAAAAGATACATCACAGTTGTTGGAATTCCACAATTTGGAAGAAGCAATAAATCCTGAAAGAATTTTGGTATCATTTTATGTTAATAGAAATTTTAAATATTTTAAATGTATAACTTACTATATTCCAGGCAAAATGCTAAGCACTTTGCACATCTTACCTCATTTAATACACACACACACACACACACACACACACGTGATCCAGTGAAGCAGGTGCAAATATTATCCCCATTTGGCAAATGGTGAAATTAAAGCTAAAAATACCACACAGCCAAGAAAATCTTGAAAAAGAACAAAGTTGGAGGACACATGCTTCCTGATTTCAAAACTTATTACAGAGCTACACTAATCAAAACTGTGTGGAACTGGCATAAAGACAAGCATATAGACCGATGGAATGAAATAGAGAGCCCAATAAACCATTTTTGGTTTACTTGCCATATATGGTTGATTGATTTCAACAAGGGTGTCAAGACCATCCAGTGGGGAAAGGGAAGTCTTTTCAACAAACGGTGCTGGGGAAACTAGATATTCACATGCAAAAGAATAATGTTGCAGCATTACTTAACATCATATACAAAAATTAACTCAAAATGAATCAAAGACCTAAACATAAGAGCTATTACTATAAAACTCTTATAAGAAAACATAGGGAAAAACTTCATGATATTGGATTTGGTAATGATTTCCTTTGTGTAACACCAAAGGCACAGGTTAAAAAAAATAAACACGTTGGACTTCATGACCATGAAATACTTTTGTGCATCAAAAGATACTATAAATAGTGTAAAGCAACAACTTACAGAGTGGGAGAAAATATTTGCAGATTATATACCTGATAAGGAATTAATATCCAGAATATATAGAGAACTCCTAAAACTCAACAACAAAAAAATTCGACAACCCAATTCAAAAATGTGTAAAGGACTTGAATAGATATTTCACTAAAGAAGATATACAGATGGCCAATAAGCACATGAAAAGATGTTCAATACCTCTAATCATAAGAAGAATGGAAATAAAAATGATAATGACATAAAACCACACACCTGTTGGGATGGCTACTAACAACAACAACAACAAAAACAAAAAACAAACAAAAAAAAAACAGAAAATAGCAAGTGTTGGTGAGCATTTGGAGAACTTGGAACCTTTGTACACTGTTGGTGGGAACGGAAAAGGGTGCAGCTGCTATGGAAAACGGTATGGAGGTTTCTCAAACAATGAAAAATAGAACCACTATATGATTCAGAAATCCTACTTCTGGGTATATTTTCAAAGCAGGGTCTTAAAGAGATATTTGTACACCCATGTTCGTAGCAGCGTTGTTCACAATACCTAAAACATGGACGCAACCAATCCAAGTGCTCAACAATGAATGAATGGATAAAAGTCATTCAAAATTCAAAATGTGGTGTATGCATACAATGAAATATTACTCAGACCTAAAAGGAAAGAAATTCTGGCATAGGCTACAACATGATGAACCCTGAGGACATTATGGTAAGTGAAATAAGCCAGTCAAGAAAGGACAAAGACTGAACGACTCCACTTGTGTGAAGAACCTTGAGTAGTCAGATTCATAGAAGAGAGAATAGAATGGAGGCTGCCAGGGCTGGAGGGAGGAGAGGCTGAGGAGTGCTTTAATGGCTGCGGAGTTTTAGTTCTGCAAAGTGGAGAGAGTTCTGGAGATGGGTGGTAGTGATGGTTGCACAACAATGCGAACGTACTTAACGCCATAGAACTGTCCACTTAACAGTGGGTGAGACGATAACTTTTATGTAATATATATATTTTTTCAAAATAAGAAGTGGGGGAAAATACGGATAGTACAGGATTTGCTCTGTCATGGACTAGTTAACAATGGAGTTAGGATTTAAAGTCAGGTTTTTCCGATTCCAAAGCTATGCTGGACACACAGTGCATTGTGTCTGTTTGTGTGGCTCACAGGCGGCTTGATTGAATATTTTGCCACCGAGCGGCTCTGTGTGTGGCACGTGGCCCTGCGGTCCCTGGAAAGCAGCCACCTACAGATACGGGTGATGCTCCATGCAGAAAGACAGCAGGGGACCTCCAGGAAGAGCCTGAGGAGCTCCAGACAGAAACCATGGGGATGATGAGATGTGAGGTGAGCACGGAGATGGTGATAATGATGAGCATGGGCTCACATCTGCATTGCTCCATGACCCCAGAGGGGAGCTAGCGGAAGGGGACCCCCGGCCCTGGCTCGTGTGTGCAGCCCAGCCCCAGTGCCTCTGCTTCTGCTGCAGAGCAAGGCAGAAAGAAATTAGACTCTGGCTGGAAAAATTAAGCAAGTGAGATAGAACGAATCCCTAAGTACGCCTGGAAAATTCCACTGGCTAATTAGAAATGCTAAGGATGCTAACAGAGCAGACATAGACATAAAGTTCACAAATGTGGTGACATCTCTTTGTATTTAGATCTGAAACCTTGCTTTTCAGAGACACTGGGGTGGGGTGCAAGTCGCTTATAAATCATACCAGCCAACATGTAAGGACCGACTGTGTGCCAGGCCCTGAGATAAGCCCGTTCTGTGTAGCTCCCCTACCTTCCCTCGTTCTCAGGAGGTGGTGTTGTGGATTGCTGAGCCTTCTTCAGCTCAGTTCCTCCTTGGATTTCATGACATACCACAGAATCCTCTTGATAAATCACTTTTTTTTTTTTTGGCTCAAGCCAGTTCAAATGGGTTTCTGTTACTTTTGTTTGTTTGTTTTGAGGCAGGGTCTCACTTCTCACTCTGCCACCCAGGCTGGAGTGCAGTGGTGCAGTCACGGCTCACTGCAGCCTCCACCTCCTAGACCCAAGTGATCCTCCT